GCTCACGGGTGGGCGTACACAAAACCACGGGCGGGCATACACCCGACCATGTAGCCCTCCGCCAACGCTGTGACGATATCAGGAAGAACTCAACAAAACGCTGGTCCAACAAGGAAACTGATTATGGATAAATCACCAACCTCAAACAGAGGCAAATACAGACACGACAGCTTTAACCGCTGCCTCGAGCCCACACTAATCCGGCTCTGTGCTATGATTGTAACGAATACATACATGTTCACATTGCTCGACTACCGCACCGACGGCTGTCTTTGCCCTGTCTGTCTCGGTAAAGCCCTCCGCCAACGCTGTGACGATATCAGGAAGAACTCAACAAAACGCTGGTCCAACAAGGAAACTGGTTATGGGTAAATCACCAACCTCAAACAGAGGCAAATACAGACACGACAGCTTTAACCGCTGCCTCGAGCCTACATTAATCCGGCTCTGTGCTATGATTGTAACGAATACATACATGTTCACATTGCTCGACTACCGCACCGACGGCTGTCTTTGCCCTGTCTGCCTTGGTAGCCACAAGTTCACCACTAGCCACTTTACCTGCATCCAACAACTGATTCGACGCATCCTGGTAGGCCCGAAACTGCCGCCCATTGACCCTGACATCCTCCAGCAATTACAGGAGTGCCACGACTTCCACGGTATCTGGACCCTCCACGAACACCTTGGATCTTTTCTCCAGCATATAGAAGAACCACCGTACCCTCACCCGTCTCTGACACATCAACCGATGTTCCCCATACCCCGGCTAATCACGCTGCTGAAGTACTACTTCCAAATTTCGGTTCAAACCAAATCATCGCACTTGTTGGTCCCGCCTATGATACTTCCGATTCAGGCCAGCCAGCACATACCGAATGCATCCGTGGTCTGGTGCGGCATTGGCTCACCCCCATCCTCGCTCTTCGACCGAATTATGACGGATAACCTGGTCCTACTCGGTATTTCGTACTCTGCACTAACCCATTCCACGGCACTACATGGCGCCCGATCCGTACCACAGAGGTGGGTACGCTACTTAGTAGGTCAGCAAGCGAATACATGGCACATTCGATGGTATCAGTGTTTTGTCAGCACCGGCCCGAATTGACTCAGCGCATATCCTCCATCGTCGACTCACTTGGCCCAAGCTTCAAACGGGAATTTACCCATCGATCTTTCCCGAAACACTACAACGGCTATAAGAGCCAAACCATATGTTCATACATTGTAACATACACACATTGTAACCTATCTTTTTTGAAATAAATAATATTATACCTATTGGTATATGCAATCCGGCGCGGATTGATTTGTCTCCGTATGTCAGAGCAACCTAGAACGGTAACAGGTTGGCCCGGTGCTTTAATTGTTCGCCACAGGAATATCGAATGCATTGAAGGGCGTGTTTAAAAATGCGGTGTCCGGCACCTAAATATTCTTTGATTCACACAGTTGTTTACTATACAGCCATTTCGAAGACTTTCACGTTCGGCACCATTCACACACGCGTCCGATCCGAAACTGTTGAGAGGCCGAAGATATAGCCGACTGGATACGATCTCATTGGTATGCCAGTATTGTAAACGATGATCCGGACACGATAACTTCATGTATATCAGACGATGAGGATGATAACCATGAGAACAATAAAAGGATCGAGACTATGATTACAATTCTTGAAGATATATAATAGCTAAAAGTCCGGAACATGGTGAGCAGCAGATTTGAGATGCACCAACTCAATAGAGAAAAATGTCAACGATATTCTTGCAATTCCACATAATAACAATATTGTAACATACAGTAGTGTGATAGCACAAAACACATTACTGGTATTTTCAGGCTAGTGGATACAGTAGTGATAGCATAT